TTAAAGAGAATAATAAAGACTTTGATTTATTTTTCATCCAAATTAAACATTCATTCATTCATTTTCTTCTCGGCTTAGTCTCTTTATGAATCTGGGTTTGCCACAGCGGAATGAACTGCCAACTTATGCAGCTAGTTTTTACGCAGCTCATCTCTTGGAAACATCCACACACACTCATACACTACGGACAATTTAGCCTACCCTATTCACCTGTACCACACGTCTTTGGACTGTGGGGGAAACTGAAACACCCGGAGGAAACTCACGTGATCGCAGGGAGAACTTGCAAACTCCACACAGAAACGTGTTTGATTAGGGTTGAAGCTAAAATCTGCAGGACACTGGCCCTCCAGGAACAAGTTTGGTGACCCCTGCCCTAATAATTAATGATTTACAACCTAAATACAGCATTATGACATTCACAGTGATATTGAACTTTTTCAAACCAGCTAATTCATAAAATAAAACGATCTAATGGCCGGCCGAGGTGTAAAACTGAATCTATTTGTGATTCTCTACTTGCATTGAACTCTAAAAATAACCCCTGCCTGACACCACACAACTCTCAGCTTTCTGTCAGCGTTTATTCCTCCATTCTCAGCAGGCAGCGCTTGGTTTCTGAAGCCTGATGAGCTCCAGTTTTCCTGCAGGCTCACATTATTGGACTCCCGCTGCTCCAGAAAGCCCAAAAATAGATGCTTTTTCATGGTCAGCAGCACCCGGACTGATTGCCTCCTAAATGGTGCTCGACTCAAATGAAAAAAAACACAGATTTTGGTGCATCTGGACACATCGGTTTTCTTTCAGAGTCATTCAGACTGACATTTTGTATTTTTTTAATGTCTAATGCATTTCTTTATCAGCTCGGACAATAGAGACTCTCAGAAAAGCTTCAGATTATTACGTGCATCAATTTTCTTTTGAAATGAGTTGCAGAAATGATATTCATGCATTGATCAATTCTGGTTTTTGGGTTCTTGGAGGATGAGAGAAAATGCAATTTGGGAGTTATTATGCGCTTTTACTTTTATTCAGGGAAATATGACGATGCTTCATGGGATGATAGTAATAATTCTGCAACTTTTACTCGCTGAATCAATAGTTGTGAAATCATTGAAGCAGAACTTTGTTTGTTATTGCATAATAATAATAATAATAATAATAATAATAATATATTATTAATAATAATATATTAATAATAATAATAACAATAATAATAATAATAAGAAGAAGAAGAAGAAGAAAAAGAAGATTATTATTATTATTATTATTAATACTAATAAAATATTATAAATAATAATATTAATAATAATAGTAATAATAATATTAATAATAACAATAATAACAATTATAATAATAATTATTAATACTAATAAAATATTATAAACAATAATAATAATAATAATAAAAATAATAATAATAACAATTATTATTATTATTATTATTAATGCTAATAAAGTATTATAAATAGCAATAATATTAATAATAATAATAATGATAATAATCACAATAAAGCATTTGGTTAGTGGTTAAACTGAGGATTTGTGCATGTTTTGTCGACTTGGTGAGGGGAAACAGCATTTATTATCTTTTTTATTTTATATCTCTTTTATATCTATTTAATTTATCCTTTCTGCATCTTTATTTAATCTTTAAATAATAAAAAAATGCATAGTAATATTTTTTTATAATTTTTTTATACAATAAATTAATTGTATAAAATTTTATAAAAAAATTATATAATAATTATATAATATAATAAATATATTATAAAATAATAAAAATATACTAATAATTAATTAATTAAAATAAATAAATAAATAAATATGTATTTATTTATTAAAAAAATAATCTATTAATTATTAATTAATATTAATATATTAATATAAATAATTAATATATTAATATTAATTTATTATTAAATTAAAATGTATTTATTAATTATTAAATCACTCAATCAATCAAATCCAATCAAATCAATCAATCAATCAATTTATTTAATAAACACCTCGATACATACATTTATACATACATGCATACATACATACATACATACATACAAAAAAGCTCTCTAAGAAAACATTGTTTTGGATACAGAACAAACCACTGCTGTCAATGACTTGCCCAAATAACTAAAGTCTCCAAATTGTGCTGTAAGCTGAATACTTGCCTTCAATACTTGAACACTTGAATGCCTTCAAGATTTTCTAGATGTGCGCACTTTTCTGTTTTTTGTAAGCTGAATACTGTCATCATGCCATAGTCAAAAGAAATCACTAATTAAAACTATGAAAATATCGTCTTCATCTGTCTCTGTGAATCCTCTAATGCATTTCTATCATATATTCCGGTCAGCAAGCATTGTTGACCTGCAGTGTCAGAGCGACCTATTCTTTTCTGTTGTCTGGAGGGTTTTGAGGAGAGCAGAAGAACAGACTGACTTATATAAACATCAGTCATGGCTCTCTAATGAGAAACAGCCTCATATAGGAGACCCTGGAGAAAATACACTCATCACAACTGATGAAAAAATCCCAATGCCAGCAATCATCTTCAAATACAGCTGAAATGATAAAGGTTTCATACTTTATTAAATTCAGAATTTATTAATAATGGAGCTGGAGATGCTTTATAGTAACAGTAAATACTGTTTAAGTGTTTCGCTAGTTGAATTGTTTGTACTGTTAAACATTTCCGTATTGTAAAATGTAAAAAAATATTGTAAATTTAGTTTTTCTGATTCATTTATTTATTATTATTTATGCTTTTTAATGCTTTTTTAGTTTAAAAAAGTTTGAAAAAGTGACTTTTATTGAAATTTATATTAGTTTAAAGTGATATATTGTCTAAACTGCAATTGAAAAACCTGCTAATAAAGGCATCTTCTGTGCCAGTTGTGTACATGTGATCAATCACAACCAATTGGAAGTCATTATTTAAGTGGCTTTAGGAAAAATGGACCAATTAGAATCCAATGTGATGAATATTAATAAATCACTGCATTCAAGTGAAGTCAGGAATTGTTGTCATGAGCAGGTCACACACCGGATGCGCCGCTCGGCGCCACGACACGGCATGCACATGACAACTGGAAGCATCGCACACCAGACGTGCACATTTGCAAGCTAATTGAAATGAAAGTATTCAGATGTCGCTCTGTGGTGCGGCAGAAATACGTGGCACACATGGCTGGGCACCGCCGGTGCGTGTACTCTGATAGAAACCTATGTTTAGAATTCCAAGCGACGCTTCCAACCTGATCTCTCGAGAAAACGTAAGTATTTTACGTTTTGCCAGTTTAGTGGCTAATTCGTACGAATTCGTAAGAGTTCAGTCGTACGAAATTGTACGATTTTAAAAAGGAGGCGTGGCACCTAACCCCACCCCTAAACCCAACCGTCATTGGGGGATGAGCAAATCGTACTAAATTGTACGAAAAAGTGCCGTGAGATTGCGTTGGCGCTTCTCATGTGCGACCTGCTTTACACCGTAAAAAAAAAAATCCGTAATTTTATGGTTAATTTCTGTTTATTTACAGAAATTTACTGTAAAATAATAATAGGTTGAATTACAGGAATTTACCAGATATTTAAATTTAAATAAATTAAATGTCTGATATTTTAAGTTTTTAAAATTTTAAGTCGCCCCTTTAATATTATTTTGCCGGAAATAATATAAAATTATGAATTTTTTTTACAGTGTAACTTAATTGTAATTTATTAACATATACCTTGGTCGACACGGTGGCATTGTAGGTAGTGCTGTTGCCTCACAGCAAGAAGATCGCTGGTTCAAGCCTTGGCTGGGTCAGTTGGCGTTTCTGTGTGGAGCTTGCATGGTCTCCCCGTGTTCGCGTGGGTTTTCATCATGGGTGCTCTGGTGTCCCCCCACAGTCCAAACACATGCGGTACAGGTGAATTGAGTAGGCTTAATTTGTATGTAGTGTATGTAGTGTGTGTGTGTGAATGAGTGTGTATGGATGTTTCCCAGAGATAGGTTGCAGCTGGAAGGGCATCCGCTGTGTAAAACATTTGCTGGATAAGTTGGCGGTTCATTCTGCTGTGGCAACCCCAGATTAATAAGGGGACTAAGCCAAAAAGAAAATGAATGAATGATTAACGTCTACTCCTACCCCAACCCTCACAGTCACAGTAATGTAAAAGCCGTGATCACAGAGTATTATTTATAATAGTATTCATTAAATTACCCATTAAATTGTATTTTATCAACATCTTCCCTTAAACCCAACCCTTTAGTAATATAAAAACAGTATCTATATCGCAAATTATTGATATTAGTTATTAAATTACCCATTAAATTGTATTTTATTAACTTCTACCCCTATACCCAACCCTCACAGTAATGTAAAACAGTTATTATACCAAGTATTATTCGTAATATTTGTTAAATTACCCTTTGAATTGTATTTTATTAACTTCTACCCCATACCCAACCCTCACAGTAATGTAAAAACAGTTATTTTACCAAGTATTATACATAATATTTGTTAAATTACCATTTAAATTGTTTTTATTTAAGGTCTACCCATAAACCCAACCCTCACAGTCATGTAAAAACAGTATTAATACTCAGTATTATTCATATTAATTAATAAATTACCCATTAAATTGTATTTTATAAACGTCTACCCTTACCCCCACCCTCAAGGCAATGTTAAAACAATAATTATAGCGAGTATTATTCATATTGGTTATTAAATAATTGTAGTACAATAACGTCTACCTCAATAACGTCTACCCCAACATTCACAATAATGTACAAATATTAATTATTGTTGTAAAGTGTCACAAAAGTTATGCTAACGTTATATATTGACGTGAGTATCTGCAGCTGTATCCTTTCCAGAAATCCTCGCTAATAGTGACCGTTGCTAACGACATGTGCTGATTATACGGCGGTTTACTGTCAGTAGAAACTCAATTTCCCACAATTCCAGGCGTCTAATGTGGGTCAAAGGTAAACTGTCATGTCCGCTGTGTAGGTGCATTTAGCGTGCAGAATCATTTACGGCTCTGAAAGTATGTGTGTCGTGTATGTCTGACGTTAAAGACACACTCCTAAAAGACAGCAGACTGATGTAAAGATCATTTATGAGCGGAGAGTCGCTGCTGGACAGAAAACCCGCACCGGACTGTTGTGGAGGATTCAATAACCTGGAGTTCAGTCAGGTCAGAAGCATCATATATACTGTAGAGCACAAGCTCAGAGACACAAAGGCACACAGATACACACAGACTGGCATACACACACATCTGTCACCATCTGACTCACGCTGATAATACAACTACACAGACACTAAACAAACAAACACACAAAGGCAGACTCACACACATACATACAGACACAAACATTCACATATATTGACACACAAACAGATTGTCACACAGACACTTTACTGATACAAATACACAAAAAAACTGACACACACGCACGCACTTGTCACAATCTTACACCTACACACACACACACATACAGACTGACACCTGACACACACACACACACACACACACACACACACACACACACACACACACACACACACACACACACACACACACA